GTAACTGACAAAATCTGCACATTTTTCTGTGGGTTAAAAATGCATTTTAATTATTTTGTTCCATGAAAGATTTCTGCTTCCACTTGCAACCAAGATGATCATGATATCAGGACATCTTTTTGAAAGTTAGCTATAGCTTTTAGAGTTTCTAAAATGATTGATTTAATCCATTGCCTCTGTAGCTGTAGTCGGTGTTAATCCAGATACAGTCGGCAAAAAATAATGACTGAACTTTAAGTGTCACTGAAAGAACTGATGCACCCTGTGTAATCACATCAAATGTTTTCATCAACTAAAGCAAACTTTCAACTTTTTATTAATGAATGTTTCCTGTTGTTGTCTCTCTTCATATTTTTTTTCTGTATTTTGGCCCCTCCAAAAAAAAGCAAATCTTTTTGTTACGCATCCATGAATCACCAAATGTAAAGCCAGAAGCCCTGCGAGTCAAGCCAAGTTATAAACACCTCTTTGAAATTTAACGCAGTGTTTCGTATTATACACACTTCAGTCCCACTGAGCAGGAAACATCCCTCAAGAAATCAAGTGTGGTGGCTACATGGGAAAAGGTGCATGGATGTTTTTTTTTCTCCCCCCCTTCCCTCCCTGAATTTCTTAAAGTGAACAAAAAGAATCTTTGCTTAAAAGTCGAGCATCTTTTTTCAAGGGTCACTCAAACACGGTGTGTGAAATGAGAGTTGCCTGGGTGTGACTTTTCCAGAAAGCATCCGCTTGCTATTGTCTGCCTAGTCAACTTCTGCAGGCCCCAGTGCCCCGACTTCCATACATGAGAGATCAAGGGTTACCAAGGTGCTTTTGAGAAAGGAGGGCTCAATGTGAGAGGGGACAAACCAGTCCACAAAATACTCATTTCCTTTGCATGTTAGGTGCCCTAGTGGGGATGCAGACGGGGTCACTGACACAGCCACTGGGGTTGATTTTTTTTTTTTAAACATTTTTTTTCCCTCGCTGTTCTTAATGAAAACTGTTGCTTTGCCTTTCAGTGGCTTGCGACTGTTATCTGCTGCCTGTACAGTATGCGGCTTGATAATACACCGAGTTTGTCCAAAAGAAAGTTTGTTCAGACTCTGACTGTTTATCCGGTGCCAGACAGAGGCACCTCATGTAGAAAAGGTAAAAGTAGTTCTGTCCACCTCTCATTCTTGCCAAAAAAGTTCAGCCACTGAGCCACGGCATTAACTTGTATTCTAACAAGATTAAAATATATTCGTCCTGGGGATTAGCATAGTTAGGTGTCCTTTTGCCTCTTTTTTTTCCTGCACTGGTGCGGTGACAGTGGGCTTTGATCTGTGTTGCGAGGCAAGAGTCCTGGCTTGGACCTAGCCATTCGAGTGCCAAGTGTGAAATTGGCCTGATGTCATCCCCATTCTTCACCTTTTACATCTTTCACCACTTTAATTATGTTTCCGCCACAAAGCCCAGGCACCTCTGAGCAGATTCCACTCTGGCTGGAGGAAGCATTTAGAAACTGTGGGTAAATGACACAGTAGGGGAGGGGGAGGATGGTAGGAGAGGTCATAGCAGGATGGGGCCCTTTTGTGTGTGGAGGTAGACATTGATACTTTCCTGATGTATCCTGCACTCACTTCCATTTTTTACAGCATGAGAACTCTCTGGAATACTCGGGAAAAGAACTTTTATTCCATGCATTTTTTTGTTCTCCTTTTTTTTTTTCCAGTTTCTGCATCCTATTCCAGATTTTATTCCTCAGTGCTTTCTCCTCAGTTTACTCATGATTCGCACTGTTTTGACAGCACTTTTCTGCAGCGGTTAAGAGGCTTTACGAAACCACTTGAGGTCACTTGACCACCTGAATCTCGCTTCCAGAGATGAGACCAATTTTTCTCCGATAAAACCTTTTGTTCCAGGAGAATGCGCCCATGCAGCCTTTACAGCTTTTAGCTTTTGTTCATGCATTGGTGTCCCTATCTGAACTTCGGGGAGTTTCTGTTGCCTGTGAATATTTTGATGAAGGGTTCCTATTGATGCGCTGAATGAAGGATCAAAACAACAGGGGTGTGCGCGCATGTGAAGGAGGAACACAAATGAATGGGGTACGGGGATGTGCGCGTGTGTGTGTGTGTGTGTGTGTGCCAGGCGAGATTAAAATAAAAACCAAGTGATAGTGAGATATGTGTGTGAGGCAGAGAGAGAGTATGAGTTAGTGAGTGAGAAAGCTGTGTGTGGAGAATGGGTTACTGAGGGGCGGGAGGGGGGGAAACCAGCCACCTGCAGCCATGACAGGCTTTGACCTTCATTGCTCTCTCTCTCTCTCTCTCTCTCTCCCTCTCTCTTTCCCCTCACCCCCCTCCTCTCCCTCTCCCCTCCCTCCCCTCCTTCACTCTCTCCTTTCGACTCCCATTTCTGCCTTGTGATAGAAGCACAGGCTCTTTTCAGAAGCGGCGAGGAAGACTGACCGTCTCGAAGACAGTGCTGGGAGCAGCCCTATCTGCTCTAATGCTAGTCACTGGCCGTTAGACATGGCGTTCAAAGACTAGTGGTGCAAGTATGGAAATGCAGATAAGGCATTGTTGAGGAAACATGCCTGGGAATTGTTCAAGGCTTTCCCTTGCATAATGTTTGGATGCTTTTGCGAATGTTTTAATCTCAAAACCCATGAATTTGATCCTCCATGAATCTGATTCCGAAGCTCCCTTAGAATGGGGTGTGTGTTTGCATGGAGAGGATTGTTATGCTATGCAAATTAATAATGTCTGTGACTACATTTGTGAATATTTAAAATCTGGCAACATTTTTTTAAAAAACTGCCATTGCACGTATTTGTCATTTCTGGACTATTTTTTATTTAGATTTATGTTAGAATGCATGCAGAATCTCAGCATTGATTTCAAGTCTGATTCACTGCCTCAGCCACTTCTTTCTTTCTGTGTTTTGGAGCAACATGCAACCCTTTTTTTTTTGTTTGTTTGTTTTACAGATTTCAGAAACTTGTTTGTGTATAATCTTCAAGGTTTATTTACTCTTCTTTTGCAGTTTTCAGGAGGCAGTTAATTACACAATTAATACATGATACAAATTATGTACATTTATACCAAAGAATACTTCCAACATAAAATAAAAAATAGCATTGTATTCTACAACTCTGTGTTGTAATTTTATTTAAACATGTTCATATATAGATAGATATACGCTGATGAGTAAATTCATAATGTCGTACCAGCAGTTTTCATAAAGGCATTAAACTTGAGTAGTCTGCATTTGAAGTAATACTGCTTCTCTGATTCGGCACAGTTCTGTTTCATAAAAAGTTCACACTTGAACTTTAAGGCAAAGTGTGTTTCTGTTTGGTGGATTTTAATTCACACACACTTTTTGCAGATACACAACAAAAACACTTTGAAAGGCAAAAAGTCCACAATTTGGTATGGATACAGTCTAAAACTTAGCTCGATCATACTTTCGTCGGTAATGACCAAAGTTTATAAACACAGTTATTTGCCCAAGTACAACAAATTGCAGCTTTCATGCAAAGGCCCCATAAACAATTTTTCATTCACAAAACAAAACAAAAAAAAAGAGAAACAAAAAGAAGTTATTGCAAGATAAACAAGCAGTGTAAACACCTCAGATATCTACTCTAAAGCAACACTGGTCATTGGATAGATTTTTTTTCTCAATATAATCTATATAAATACACATATGAAGTCCTTTCAACAACGATAAGAGATTTCCAACATTTGTAATACAGTCACGGACGGATTTGCCTTCTTTTTATGATATATGGATATGTAATAAAAATGTATATAGAGAAAGATTTAACAAGAACATCCAATAACCTGCATTTAAAGTCTATGCTCAAAGAGTGCGCAAAATGGTTGTCATCATTGTCTTTATGCTACAGAGTTGTTTCTGTGACTTAGTAGGCAGCATTATAGCCTTCATTTAGCTACAAAAAAATGATTTATATTGCTATTTAAAACTATAATAGCTGCACTGATGCATTGGTATAACGAAGGGAGCACGCACATAATATCTGTTTAAAGGCTATGAGACGACCACAAACATAGAAGCAAGGCCTAACTTAGCATTTTAGTTCAGTGGCGTGTTAGAAAAAAAAAAATCCCTATCCTCTCTCTCGATCACTTCTTTTTTCTTTTTTTTTTTTTTAACCAAACTGTTGCTGTGAATTAAAAAAAAAAACAAACAAAAGAAAAAACAATCAAAATTCATAGTCTGCCCAATTAGTTGTGTAACTGCACGCAACACCTTCTTCTATCCATTTTTTTTTTTTAACACCAAAACACAAACCAAGAAAACCCAACAAAAGCATGGAACTAAAAACCGTTGTTAGCATTTATTTAAATTCACAGTAGCCTGGATGCAGCAGAAAAATATTCTTTGGACTTAAGTTTGTTCACTTCACTGACAGATCGAAACGTCAAATGCCAGTTAGTTAAATGTAAAATGATGACAATCATGGATAGCAGTAATCCTACGGTATATAAAAATGAAGGGTGTAAGCATTTGTACCTCCTGGGGGGGGGCGGGAACAACAAACAATGAAAACATACCTTTATACAACATCTTTTATAGACGTGATATTGCAGAAATATCTCTCTCTATTATTTTTTTAAAACAATTTATGCTGGTATACTCTATACACTGGCCCTTTATTCGATGAAATTATTGCATTGTAGGCTTGATTAAACCTCCCATATAACGAAAAATCACTATAATATTCCCATAGGAATCTATAGAGACCTATGGTATCAGTAAAAATTCCTGTAGGAACTCTTAGTAGTGACCTATTGTTCCTTTTGTACTATTTTTTTATTTCTTATGCTGTCCTGGACCCACTGTGTGAGTCAGCACTGAGTGATAGTGGTATTTTATCTGCTGTGGCATCATTAAATATTCCTGTAAGTAGAGTTTTTTTTTTTCTGTGATAGCTCTATAAAAATCTATCATAGGATTACTATAGGTTCTTTTTCGTCAGGAGGCTGCTGTTACTTCTCTGGAAATCAATCGCTGTCTGATTTTTCGTCTTTCGACGTGACGGTGGCGTGATTGTACAGTCCCTGTGCCATCAGGTGTAAGGCCAGAGTGTTCTTAGTGCCGCTGGCCTTCTTGATTTTGGCCCTCTTGTTCTGAAACCAGATCTTGATCTGGGATTCGTTCAGGCCCAGTTCCTGCGCCAGGTTCTGTCGCCTCTGCTCCGTCAGATACCGATTTGTCTGAAACTCCGATTTTAGTCTTTGCAGCTGTTCTGCTGTGAAGGCCGTCCGTGGTCGCTTGTCCTCTTTGCTGGTCGTTTTCTTCTTTGGTTTGCGAGATCTTGGCCCTGTAGTGAGGGGAATTGGGGAGGGGAAGGTGGGGGGGTTCACAAGACACGCATACATTGGTTTGTCAGTATCAAAACATCATGAGCTCAAAAACAAAGATGAAAAAACGACACTTTTCTATGTGCGATAATCAGACAAACGTCTTAAAAACAACCTTAGAAACAAAATCTAATCAATTCACATTTTCTCCCATTGAAACACTGCACGAACATGTGTGTAGTTTACTATTCTGCCACTTTGCATCCAGAGCAGTGCCTTCAAATGCATCCAAAACACGTGCGTAAAGTGTATTTTACGAGAACGCAGATTTTGTAAAACTTATTTAAATCCCTACACATAAGTTTGCACTGTAAATAAATCTCTATTCATGTTACAGTTGCCTTTTTTGCATATTAAAAAAATGCTAAAATAAGTTTAACTAAGAAACTTGTACAAAAATATGAAGAAGAATGATTGTAGAATGTAAACACGTCCATTACAGAACACATCCAAAAGGCACAACCTTCCCCTATCTCCCTGTTTCCATCCCTTTTCCTCGCTCACACACACGTACATGGACACACACACACACACAAACCGAACACACACTGACACTGTCTCTAGTAATAAGGAATTATTAGCCAATGAGACAACACTGGAAAAAGCATTGCTGACACAACTCAGCCCCCATGTTTTTTTTTTATGTTTTTTTTTTTTTGCAGGTTAGTTGGAAAAACAGGATCAATTTCAGTGCAGCTACTTTGCATTTTAGTTTTTGTGGGCCACTTGAAAAGCCTCTCAATGGACAAACGTGAACAGAATCTGAGCAGCACACATTAGATACACATTAATTTTCCATCTGGATGGAGGCCTATTCGGTGGAGCTATGGGCTAAGTGTTCGGTCCCCTCCTCCAAACAGTGTAGAAAACATTCGTGAAACGACACAATTCGGCTTCATGAATCAGCGTGGAAGTGTATGTCTCTTCTTTTTTTTTTTTCTCCTTTCCCCAAAGCAGCCCATATAAAACTGCAGCTCTACAACTCGTAGTAGTCGCCTACTCCACTCTATATGGCGTTACATAATGCATGAGAACAAGTTGTGCTCCACTTTTTTACAGACACTTAGAAAAATACGCTGGATATTAACCTGACTGCTGGATGAGAAGCTATATTGTGCATTTTCTTATAAATCAAGACTAAAGCTGAAACCAAAAATGCTCGCTGTTGGCCAGCATATGCATGGAGCGATCGTTGTGGAAACGCATGCATATTTAATTCATCCCAAACACAACTCCTGAAAACGCTTTTAGGGAGCAAAAACAGCTGTGACAAGAGCACCAAATATTAATTTGCAGACCTGCAGATTCTCTGATAGACAGCAGCCTATCAGCGCGCTTATGTTTACTATATGTAGCACCCCAGTATTATCATATTCATAACCCGAGGAAATAAGCTCGAACACTGTCTGAATGGGAGCGTTCCAGTGAGGAGAAATCCGTGCGTAATAGTTCCGAAAATTGCGCGTATTTTATGTATTTTGTTGACATTTTAAAATACAAGGATTTCGGATCGATTTGCTCCGTAAAGGGAATATTTTCTCCTCTCTTGTTTGCATTTTAAAAAGGCCTATCCTCCCCAAAAAGCTAGTTTTTAAAATTTCATTTCCATCGGGTGTTTTTTTCTCTCCCTACGCTGCACAATGGCACATTGATCGTGCAGTTTTTACCTCCACATTTGTGCGCTAATTTTTCGAAATTTCGCAGAAAAAGATTTATATTCGGTAAATTCTCGTAGTGCGCTGCACAGCACGGTTCGCTCCACTCTGCTAGCGAGAAGTCGGTCAAGGCATCCGGGGTCAGTGTTACGGGGTATTTCAGGTTACCGAGAATATACGGGAGAGTAAAAAACGCATGCACGGTGCCACCAACCTGAAGAAGGCCTGTCCGAGTATCTGGTGCAGTAGACCCAGGCTGGCCACAGCATGGGCTGAGACGTGGCTGGGTTTGAGCTGGCTTGGGAACTGTCTGAGTCTGAGCTTAGGCACTGGTCTCCATTCTCCCCGCGGGGTTTCAGGGGCTCCTCGGCGGCTATAGCGGGCTTCTTAGCCCCGGTAACCGTGTGCGGAGTGGAGGTCCCCTCTGCCGGCACCGTGCTCCCCACCGGCTCGGTCTGTGGGGCGGCGGGGCTGTTGTGGCTCTCCCGCGACGATGCCAGGCTACTCTCTTCGCGGTTTGCGCCTCCGTCCTTTTTCCGTCCGAAATCCGGCCGCAGGATGTTGTCGATGAAGAAATTGGTGACCCGGTGAGGGATCTGCAGGTTCCCCGGCGCCTGTAACAGGGGAAGGATGGCTCTGTTGGACTCATCCGCCGACTCCTGCCGCTCCACCACATCTCTGTTGCCGTGATCATTTTCTTCCATACTGATTCACTTTCCCCGCTTTACTCTCTTTAACCCCTTTATCGCTCTCTCCGCTGCAATAAAATTCGCAAAAGAACTTCGGGAGGGGAAACGAGATTGCAAAAAACTGCACGACTGAAATAAATAAAAAAATAAAACTCAAATACTAGTGAGTGCCTTGGACACCATGCAAAGCCTTGCGATAGTGTCCTCTGAGAAAAGCATACTTTTTGACATATATTCCCTCAATCTCGGGTTACAACTGACACCGCAGAGCTAAAACATTTGCCATTTGCGCACCATCCAATTTAGTGTTATCCGATTTCAGCGTGCTCGGTAATGCCTACACCTAAACTAAACTAAGGGTAAATAAAGAGGCTCCTAAACTGATGCTCTAATACTCTCACTCTGGAGTTTTGTTCTTATTTTCAATACGAGCCCCCCGAGTGACGTTTTCCCACCGTCCTCCCAGACACGTGCCTTGGACCAATAGGATGGCAGAAACCAGGCCACGTGACGCAGACTCCAGAGCAGTCTACAAACGCCCATCCTCGCCTTGGTAAAGAAAGAGTCCTGGACTCACGGAGAAGAAGCCTAATTTAAATCCAATGCATGCGCCCAGATACTCCCCAAAAATTCATCTGTGTTTATGAACCCGTGACTTATTATATTTTTTGGGGGAGAGTTTTGAAATGAAAACAACACGATGCACTTCAATCTGTTGAGTTTATTAAAACAAAAGGAGATTGAAGCATCGGTTGTCAGTGAAGCTGCGGGGACCCCCGGGGTTCCTTGCTTGCAGGGCAGGCAGGGATTCCCAATAACACGAGGACAAGCACATTTTTGACGATATTTTGAGACGCTATTACGCGTCTTGGCGATTGAAAGTTTAATTCTCGTCACTTTTACGGATGCCTACAGTTTAAATCAGCACAAAAACAGCTGAAATTGTGCTCAAGTGAAGCCAAATGAGCCACATTTCTATCAAAATAAGGTCAATGGCCTGAGTATTTGGGGATTCGTCATGTAAAAATCCTAGCATGTGTTGAAATATCACCTTTACGCACCACTGAAGGGACTAGGCGCCTATTTGTTGCACATATCTCACACTTTATCCGCTTTAAGCTTTGTTGAAAAACACCTGTAAGGTCTACTCGACTCAGTAACTTAAATTCAGTTCGTCCTGGCCAAGGTTAAATGCGCAAAACAGTATTTCTGGATGCCTCCATGCTCACATTCTGACCCAAGGGTGGAGTAAATGTACTTTCTTTAAAATGCATGTTAATCTCCAATCATGTATCTGTTTCTAACCCATAGCAACAGCACATTCGCGTTTACTATACTGTGCGTTTTCTGCTTTGCAGGATTGGTCTGATGTGTCATGTTGCTTCCAGTCGCCTCATAAACTGGCAGCAAAACTCATCAAAAAAACTAAAAAACGTGACAGCCAAAAAGAGTCTCCCCTGTCTGATTTCAAACGCGCAGGGATGTGTGTTAAGTATTTTTGATGTTCTCATGTTCGCCTGTCGTGACGCTGCGGTCGACCAAGAACTGGGTCCATATCCCTTTAAAAGAAATCAGTGATGCAAACAAACTGTTTTGTGCGCGGTGCTCGGGATACAGAGTCGCGCCAAAGACAAAACTTTGAGTAACTTTGCTGACCAGCACTAAGTTTGTGTTTCTCCTCCCAGGACGCCACCGGCCAGCGGGGATGGCTCAGCCGACTCTCCTCTGGCTTTTGAGCCGGGGCTGCGCGTAAAAACTGAAGGGGGGATCCGTGGAAGACCTGAGGAGCAGCCAGACTGAGACTGAGTGAGGAGCCTTTGAACAATCGAGTTAGAAAATCAGCTGCCTTTCTCTTTTTTATTTTTAGAAACGTGCATTGTCTTTTCCTGCAGTTTTCTGGGAAGTGGAGGCGTTTTAGATCCACATTTCTAAAATGAATTCACAGCGCACAACCTATTTTCTTGTATAATGTGATTATTTGGGCATCACAGGCCGGTTAGTGCTTATGATATGAAAGTATTAGTTTTATTTGAACTGTGCTGCTTTCTTTCTTTTCTTTTTTTTTTTTGGACACACATGTTGGCTTAGAGGCAATGTCCAAAACTGTTTTAATTTGTATTTGTGGCACGCCAAAGCCTGTAATTTAAGCTCGTTTTGTCTAAGACAGGTTTTGTCCTGCGGGAAACATCATATTCTTGACTTTTCACTTGTTAAATACAGGCTTTGTCCAAATTGCAAAGCAATTATAGTGAAGAGTTAAATGCTTTTTTTTTTTTTTTTTTTGGAGTTCATTTGGGTTTGTGTTAAAACGGGTCAACTCATATTCAAAAACATCCACCTACAGCTACACCACAAGCTTTACACGAGGTTTAAATAGTTTATTTAACTCAGCAGCATTCTCACAAATGAAGAATTGTCTATTGATAATATTTTTTTTTGCCTTTTTTTTTTTATTACTATTATCCCAAACCTACCTGAACAACAGCCTGAGCTCCTGTCTCACATGTCCCCACCACAAAGGGCCCAGTCCAAACAGTGAAAGTTGGGAGTGAAAGATGTAATTAGACAGGCCACTCTCATGCTGCGATTGTTTCTCACTTGTGAGGGGAAGCGCAGATTAATGTTGAGCGCTAAATAAGCAGCAGACAATGGATCCACAGACAGGCCGCTACCGCCTGGGCTTGGCCTCTAACCTCCCAGCAAAACAGGGATGTCTGGAGGAAATGACACCATTTCAGACTCTGAATTTTAATACGAGCCTTTGTGCACTACAAAAAAGTACACATTTTAACACGCCAACCAGTATCTATTGAGCCCTAAAATCAGATTTTTTTCCCCTTTAAAGTGAAAGAGCTTCCACAGATTTCATTAGATTATATATTAGAGAAGCCTTAAAAAAAAGAAAAACAAACAAAAACAGAGAACATGACTTGTAAGGAAGGTCGACTCTGGATTCTTTTAGAAAATTTGCCAAACAGCAGCGTAAAAGAAGTCATCTCACTCTGGTGCGTTTTTTTTTTTTAAGACGAAAAACAAGCTTTTAAAAGAGTCCAATCTGGACCATATGCTTTATTTTTTGCAGTGTATTACTTTACAAGCCCATAATCCCCACTATTGTGAGGTTTTGATTCAGCATTGTCTGTCTGGCTTGTTTTGGATTACACTGATGAAAAGACAAAAAAAATAAGTATCGTGCCCTGTTTTTAGTTGAAACTCCATCTCGATCATTACTGTTGTTGCTTTACGCACTGAGGATTCCTGTGGTTGGACATGTTTGCGAGACCTTCTGGTTCTTTTCTGGAGAAATATTTCCTAGGACACTTTATCCTGGTTGATTAAGGGTTAAAATAGTGCTGTGGCACTATAGATGATTAGCATATAGTTGTTTTTATTTTAAAATACAGCCAAGCATTAATTCACACATATGAGACTAATGGTAAGGATTTCATAAGCGTTTTTTAAAATTATTATTATTATGAATATTATTATTGTGTCTGGCTGTTTTGGCAGGCTTGTTGGCTATATTGGTGTATTGCATTGCTCCATATCGGCTATTTGGGCGCTTTGGATGATTTCGTGAAGCCACATCATATTTTTTTTCGGATGTTTTCTCAGGTATTGATTTGCACATGGAACAATGCAATTTTAAATGGATGCTTTTATAATGGAAGCTCATCCTTGTCCCTTGTCTGACCGAGTCTGGCCCTGCCCTGTCCAGACGAGGGGAAATGCGCAAATGGATGCACAGAATTATTCTTTGTTTTTTTGCTTGTGATATTTACCTGATGCTGTGCATTTGTAAGCGCAGGACGCACAGATGTCTGTATGATCTGTGCATGTGTAGTTTCTTATATTTCCACCAAGTATGGTTCACAAAAGCTGTTTCTGCAAAGCCAATTTTACGCATTTTTAAAAAAATTAAATAAACTGGCGAGTGAGAATCCTCGTCTGCAATCACTTCACACGCTGAAGACAAATGCAGTTTTCATACCCAGCCATTATTTGCTTTAATTTGCTATATAGCACTCTAACCTCCAAAATAGCCGCCAGCAGGCCCCCGCCATGGCACCAATCGAAGATGCGGAGATTTCGAAAAATTCTTGTTGCCATTATTAGTAATTTTTCCAATACAGGATCTCCTAATCATTCATTTAGCTCGTTATCTTTTACTATTTTAAAAGTGCGCATTGACAGTGCCGCCTTATGGTTAAAACATAGGGGCCCCGGATAAAATAGTGAGGTATTTTTCTTATGATTATATTCTGTTCTTGTTCACGGAAGCAGGGAATATTGATTACTGTACATGTCATGTCTGTCAGGTTCTACTAAATAAGTGAATGGTTCCGTTTTCTTCTTTCTTTGCTTGTGTTTGCTTGGAAGAAAAAAAAGAAAAGAAAAGCAGTGGAGCATCTCCTGGTGCGCACTAAAAGGGTTAATACTGGCTGTTTTTCAATGCACATTTTGAAAGTCGGATTTCTGTATCCATGCAGCATATATATAAGTGTGTGTATGTATATATGTATGTGTGTGTGCAGCAACTAGGTCTATTTCATATTCACTTATAGGCTCGCCCCCTCCCTCTCCCACACACACACACGCACCCGCACACACACACACACACATAGCCTATATACGCACCCCTCCTACTACTATAATCAATCGCATGCATTGTGCGCATGTGCCCTGTCCTTGAGTTCCTATAACCTATTTTTTTTTTCTTTCCTCTGTATTTTTTTTTTTTCTTGCTAGGATTGTCTTATACGTCACCAGCGCTCAGTACTATGGAGTACTACAAAAGGTGACGCGCAGAAGGAGGATTTGTGAATGGACGCCGTGATGTGTGCCAGCTCACAGATCAGAGGGCGGTGGGACCTCTGCAGATGCACCCCGAGCCCCACCACTCCTCCCCTCCCCTCCCCTCCCTCACCCGGTCACCATCACCTCCCCTCCCCTCCCTCCACATGAATGGGGGTCTCTAAGATATCAGCTCTGTCACCATTGCAGGGGTCGGACCA